TGACGGCAACATACCTGGACACACTTGGCGCGAGCCGAACGCCTGCTTGCCTCCAGCTAAATGACTGACAAATCCCTACCTGTGCAAGTATCTTCTCGGTATTGAAACTATGGTTGCAATCGCGACGATTGCACTTTTCCCAATGCAGCGGGGCCGCTTTTACAGGAATAAACAACTTTATTCAGCACGCTTAAAGGAACGAATCAATCCAGTTCGAGCAACATAGCTGGCGCAGAACGCTAGGCATAGGCCCGTGCCGCTAGGAAAACAACCACCCGCACAGCGGTTCTGAAGGCGCGCATTTCCGGCAGTTGCTTGCTGCAAACCAAACTCCGTTCGCCCTAAAGGCCGGTTCTCACATGTAGCGGAGCGCTCATGAAGCGCTATACTCCGCGACAACTTCTCTTGGCAATGCAGTGGAAGGTACAGGCCCGCGTCCCCTCTCCCATTTTGAGTGTACGCAGGCTCTCCTCCTCTCCCCGGAAATGGGGGAGGAGAAGAGCCTGCGTACACTCAAAATGGGAGAGAGGGCGCGGGCCTGTACCTTCCACTGCATTGCCAAGAAAAGTTGTCGCGGAGTATAGTCACGTGTCGTCAGCTACTTTTCATCTGCCATGAGCAACAGTTTTGACGGTGCGATACATTGCTGGTGAACGCTCCTGTCAGCACGCGCTTAGCGCGAGGTTAGCGCTATGCTTGTAGCGCACCGCTGCATGTGTGAACAGGCCTTTAAGGTGGGTTTACAAGCTCTACTTTCAGCGCGAGGTTTCTGCCCTTGCTAACACAGGTGTGAACGCGCAAACACGCGCAACCAAAGCACTGCAGAAGCCAGAGAGCTCGCGCTGAAGACGAAGCCTCTAGTCTCAGCTTAAGGGTAAATGGAGTATACGTCGGATGAGGATATCTTCCTCTAAACACCTGTGTGAACGCAAAACTAGTCTGACTCATAAAAATAGACTACCTCGACGAGCTCCAGTAGTTGAGCACTCCGAACTCCGGATACTTACAAGAAAAATGCGTCTATTTAGATTATTTGACTCTCGAACGCAAGAAAAAAAAATTGGAGGACGCTAAAGCTTCGCCTTTAATGAGTGGAACCGTGCAAGCGTGTGTGCGGGGCCTAGTCGGTAGGGTCACGTGTCATATGTGACGTCACACGTGGGACGTCGCCTTTTACGCGACGTTACACGTGAGCGCTGTGGGCTGTTTAAAATTCCCGCGCGAGGTCATGCGGCGTGATGTCACACGTGGCTGTGACGTCATGACCCCATCGGCCCGCTAAATTTTCCCTCTAAAATTTTCGGCTAAATTTAGCGCGAAAGTTTTCCGCTAAACTTGGCGGGTCAATAGTCATGACATCACAGTTACATGTGACGTCACACACATGACGTCTTGAACCTATCCACCAATCAAGATTTTCCGGTCCCACCGACGCTGATGCCGGAGTTTCTGCGCCACGAGCTCCTTAACGCTGTAGTGTTAAAACATTAGAGAGTTTTAGAATAGGGGTCTCCAACGTTTAGGTTCCCCTAAGAAATTGGGGTACACAAATGCAACAACATATGCGTCGACGGCTTATAAAATAGGGGTTTCGAAACGCAGCGTTGCGCACTTACGTTTCGCGCTTACAACGCCAATGTGGCTAACGAGCGTAATATTCAAAAAAGAATATAAAAAAAAAACGTAAAACATATGCGCTCAGCAAGTACTTTTTGTTTCAGACGATAGTTAAGGTAACTTCAAACCAAGCCCGCTGACCACTGATCTCTATTGTAGTAGGCTGGCGTCGGATCGCGAGCCCGCCGGTAAAACCACCGGCGGATTACTTGACACCAGGCAATACACGCAAACCTATAAGAAAAACACACAAATGTAAAAATATTGAAGCCTGTATGCTGTGGTCGAAGAAAAGTATATAATGATGTAATGCGATCATTATATCGGGTGTTTGGAGGTCGAATCGGCATTAGTCAAGCGCTCGCATGCCAATTAAAAAAATCAAGAGTACCGGAGCACCTACGGCTGAGCTGGCAAGCTTGCTCTCGTAGTGAACTAAACAAAGAAACTTGCTGTCAATAGGACCGTCCTCGGGGAAGCCCAGAAATTGATGAATGTCGAAAAAAGTTCCATGTTGGCAGCGGCTTACCGGCGGTGAGCGAATTAAGCGTAGCAAAGGCCTCAAGCTTGTCGTCTGCTAAACCCAACTTATCGAAACCGCAACCAACTCCGCGGTAACTCTAGATAACTCTGTTCTCATAGAGCTGCACTACATTTCTTGCCCAGCGGAGTGATTCTCGTCCACAAAACATTTATTAATAAGAACTGTGAGGGCTGTCAGCTTTAATTTTTGTACGCCCGAAAAGCAGCCAAAACGTTTCAGTGCCGACAACAGCTTAGAAACGGGGGAAACGTCACTCTTTCATGTTTTTTTCCACAGAGTCCCATGCGTTTCGTGGTGTCAATCAATGGCCGCCGGTGGCAACACTCGGCCCAAGCTGCAGAGGCCGAGGTCCGCGATCCAGCTTACTACAGTAGAGATCAGTGCGGCTAACACAAAAGACAATCTAAAATCAGTATAAATGTTGTTGGCTGTCTTCAACCAAAACAATCCAATCTGTAGAGCTCTAATTTGGCGCTCGTATTAGAAATTTGTGGCGTTCGTGAGCGCTTTTACCGCCTATCGCCGAAGATTTAGGCTTCAAGTATGCCGAAATTGAGATGAAAGCTAGTGAGCATACTCTGAGAGCGGCTGCTCGATTTAGATCTGAGCTGGAGGGACTTCGCAGCCTTGAAAGACTTTTTTTAAAGCTGCAGGAATCGTGCCGCAAACAAAATCCACCCGGAGCCACGGAGTAGCGATACGTTGCCATGTTAACGATTACCGCGTCTCTTTAGGCTTAGGAACGACCAGAAACAGGGACGATCTTTGAAATGGGACGAGCCCACCGATCATTCTTTGTGACTTGAGTAAGATAAAGCGAAGCGGAAGCCGGTTGCACAATTTATTCGCAATCAAAGTGGCTAATACCGCAGCGACCAGTACGAATTTGCTCCAAACGTGAACTCTTTCCGAAGCGAGAGGAAAGGGCGCCGCCATGTTTGCCGACGCAATCCGGCCCCAAGCAAATAGAGGCGATAGATGCCTTACGCTATTTCTCGAATTTCACGTTAGGGGCAAGCATAGAGTTATTATATTGTACGCTAGAGGTTCAACTGGCGCTAGTGTGCTGTTGCAAATTGAAGCAGACAGCAAGCAGTCCGAAATTGACTTCCGGTAATGCATTTCTACGGAAAAAATCGAGTGCATTTCCTCCCTGCGCTCGATTATAAAAGCAAATATCTCGAATAATTCGTACCTACTAGGCACATTGGAACATTTCCCAGACACGCAGATGAAATAATTGGTCAGTTACGGTGTTTTTATTTTAAAATCGTGGCATGAAAAAAGGTGCTAAAACGGCTTCGTACATGCATTTATGTGCACTGTCGGACACTGTTAGCGCGAACACGGCGTCGACGATTTCCAGCATGGGGGATATACGTGCCAGAGGAACGAAGGACTCGTGGAAAACCAAGAACGACGGCAACAACTACGCAGTAACACTGGAAAAGTAACTTCTTGTGCTTGCAGACGATCAAAATAAATTGAAAGTCACGTAATATAGTCCGATTTGCAATATATAAGTAATGCTTTATTCTTTCTGCTCAGGCATATATGTGAAGATGCTTTTTCTGTGTTGAAATCATCACTCGCACGCTCCAATTCTTTGCAAATTTTGGGAAGCCAGAGAACAGGTGCGCCATAAAAACTGCCCAACATAGGTAATGACATGGAAACACACCTTTCGTAGCCCACGTGCTTTATTCTTTACGTTTCGAACGTTTTTTTTTTTTAAAGATGTACGGCGGGGTCATTTTCATATAGTGTGAGGACAGGCATATTAGCAATATATAAGCACCAACGGAATGCTGGCGAACTTTGAACACACTCTACATTCCTTTCGATTGTTATTTTGCTTAGAATTGTCGCTCGTTTCTGCATACCTACCAAGGAACAGAGGTTTGGGCCTCAAATATAGCGAAGTATAACATTGTTCAGTGGTAAAGGAAAAATGCTGTAACTAAATCAATTACACTTCCACAATATTAATAAATGTACATACTATCCGGTACAACCGAAATAACAAAAGTTATTAATGATATTTTCCGGCGACGAGACAAAATTCACGGGCGTTTTCCCATAGGAATGCACAGGAAGACTGGAAAAGTAAACTGCATGCTGTCTGCTTCAATTTGCAACTGGAAGTCCCGTAGACACTAGCGCCAGCTGAGCCTCTAGCGTTTATTAAAATAACTCTATGGGGGCAAGCGCCAACCCAAAACCCAAAACGGAGTTTGGGTTCGGCGCATGCGCAGAGGTGAGCCCCTATTTCTTTTGGGCCCCCAAGCTTTGTGGCCCCCTATTCTAAAACTCTCTATTGTCGATTAAAATAGTATTAATGCACGGAGATACAATTTTACAACCAAACTTCTACACGTCAATCATCTCTCCAGCCAATGAGCGATCTAAGCACGGGCGGGGTTTAGTGGGCTGAAGCCTCCACCTTCTTTACCTCAAAATGAAATATTGCGGGAATTTTTTTTGTTTGTAAATACGTGTTTTATTTAGGGTTTTGTTAGAAAAAAAATTATTCTTTTTTCATTCCAGCGTCAACATACGGCGCGACGAATCCGCGCGTCTGATTTTATCTCCGTAGCCATGGGAAGTGTGGCATTAGTCTATAAGGACGCCAAGCAACAAACCCCGACGAACATATTAGGCCCCCAAGCCCTACATTTCTTAATCTTCCATTGACGTACTGCAGTGACAAATACATTTCCTAACGCTTTTTATCCAGGGTGTCCCGATTTATTTCACCTGGCTAGCCGAATTATGAATATCGGGGTGCCTAAACTAAAAACACAAATTTTAGGGTGTCAGAGACCGTGTAAATACTGACCTGTGCAGTACAAGCCGAGTCCTTGTATCGCCTCGACCCCCGCGGAGGAGGAGACGTTGACGATTACTCGCGAAGGACCCGAGTCAGAGCTGTAGTGCCGGAGGAACGCCGCAGTCAGCGTCATGACGGACGTTAGGTTCAGGCGGTAGTAGTCACCGATCTTCCTCTCGTCGTCGAACGACACGACCCCGTCGGAGTAGCTTTCAACAGTAGCGGCGTTGTGCACGAGCACGACCCTGTCCGGGTCCGGGAGCTTTGCCGACGCTCGTTCCAGAAGGTCCTCGTAGTCCCGGAAAAGTGCCCTGGAGTGATCGCAGGTCTCGACGCTCACGCTGACGCCGCGTCCCAGGGATACGATCATCCGCTTTGTTTCCTCGAGCCCGGCCGTGTTGCGACCCGTGATGACGAGGAGCGAACCATTTGCTACGTGTTCGGCAAAGCTGACCGCTATACCTCTGCCAAGGCCTCCGCTGGCGCCCGTCACGACGATAAGGAACTTCGTGCCCCAAAATGCAGACTTTTTGCCGGGGCTGCCGCCAGAACCTGTCGCCTCGACCATTTCATTTCCCTTCGATCCCATTTCAAGAAGAAGTCGGGCACTAAGCGCTGGGAATGCAGAACAACTGGAGTCAAATGTGGAGAGTCCAGGCAGCTGCGATGGTAACGCGCAAACTCGCGGCACTGCTGTGTGTCAGTAGAGGCACACGAACAAGCAGGGCGGGCTGAGTGAAACTGTGCGGCGCAAGTGGTACGGGCTCCGACGAAACGTGCACATGGGATGCTCCACATGGTACCTATCCTCTTCCCGTCCGCCATCTTGCGGTGCATTTTCCATCCAATGAACCGGATGTCTACGTGACCTCCAACGTTATGGATCGTTTTTGTCGTTGCTCAACTGTTGTACCGGATGATGGAATGAATTTCTCGTCATCTGCGTCCCATGTTTTACGCCAGCCGTTTATTACGGTCTGCGTCCCGCCAGCTTTACGGGACCTTAAGCCTGCACGGAAAATAACTCCTTGAACTGGAGCAGAAAAATATGATGATAAAAAACAAGAAAAGTATAAACAAATTCTCGCTCACTTTCTATGTACTTCAGTTTCTCACAGGAAAGAGATGTGCTCAATATATTGTTTTTAAGAATCATGTATGAAATATTTTAAAACTGACTGGTTGGAGCAAAGTACTCCGGGAGTATTTGATCCTCCCTAATGTAACCGCAATAAATAAAATACGCTTTTGGTCGGTAAATCTCGGTGCAATCGTTTATGTGCCACTTAAAACAATATACCATTTGATCCCGAACGCCATGGTTTTCGCCATGGTCGCAGGATGTTGCGTCTGGGAGGGGATGATCTCAGGTGCTGAAACAAGATTCGGGGCTGTGGCTCACTCATCGCATAGCCCCCGGGAAACTGACCTGGATTGGGATTACATAAATGTAACTTTTAAGTACAGTGAATTTAAAGGTGGCATGATTGACATTTTAATCGGCGTCTTCGGGCTCCCTGAGCCCGTGTTAAATAGGCCTTCGGGGGCGAGAAGGCCCTTTGAGAGAGAGAAGCCTTCGCCTGAGTTCGAATGTTCTCGTGATGTTCGAGGTGCGAGCGGCTGATGCAATTACCTTGTGTTCTTTTAGCGAGGTGCGGGTGATGCAACCCGTAACCCCTCTTGGCATGCTCCGGTGTCTGACGCAAGGCGTCAACGCTCTTTCCGCTCGAACTGAAACACAACAACGACAGACAAACACACGCGCGCGCACGCTGCTGTTTCTTCTTGCGAAGGCTGGAGGTCCCAGACCGCATCGTGGCTTCCGGAAGACGTTCTTTTTCTGTTTAGAGCCTTCAACGAAGGCCACCACCTGCCGAATGTGTATCAAGGGTTGGTCTCGGGAATCTGAACGGGAGTCTGTCTGGTGTCGTTGGCCCGTGCCGGGGCCCAAGGCAACAACAGGCTTTGCTGCCGTTGGCGACAGGTGAAGGCCAACTCCAGCACGGAGTGAAGGCCGCGGCAAAATGGATCACTTATTCTGAGAGAATAATATAATTTGCCCATACATAGTGGAGTACCAACTTTTGCTACTTGACCGCGTGAGTGATGGCATCATAACATGACGCTCCGCTCCAATCAAACCGTTGCTATGTCGTTGTTTTGGACAAATGCATGGGTAATTGACGTGCGGTTGGAAATTGTCTGATAAAAAAACTTGTTTTTTTTTTTTTTTTAGACAGGGTGTTTTTGCAATATCTAATCATGAAGACTTTTTTCTATCATCTCACTACCACAAAGCGATCACAAAGGCCCGTAATAAAGTTTCACAACCGATTTCGCTTTGATAGGAGACCACACGATGGCTACGCTGGTTCAGTGGGTAGTTCTGAGGCAGTACGCGACTGTGTTAGATGAAGTTGGTGACGAGCGAAGAAACTTCAATTCTCGGGGTCAACTTTCCGTGGGATTTGAAAAGCGAAGAGTGCCCATGCACAGTTTTGATCGACGCTTGAGAAGCGCGAGCGCACGGATGCATGCTCGTGGAATTCGCTTCCACGATATATGAGAAGGTGAAAACACTGTGAAGCCGAATCAAGTGCGACGACTACGTGAAGTGTATCAACTTAAAAATGCAGGCCAGAACACGTTTTCATGATATTTGACGGCACAGAAGTTGCTTCAGTACACGTTTCGTGTTCAAACGAACTGTCCGTAACATATATATACAAGCTATCCGATGCTATTATTCAGCTCCTTCGTTATTCGAAGTCATTCTGAAAACTGAAGAGTCGGTAGGATTATTAATGCATTAGCATTAGAATGCTCGTTTTCTTGAAAAGCCGCCGGTGTCAGTCCGTCCGTCCGTCCGTTTGTCAGCGCCATGCATGACGTCGCGAGGAGAGTGGGGTGGTGAGGAGGTATTGTGTTTACAGATTCAATAGGTCTGTTCGATTCGGCCAGGAACCTCAGAACTAGTTCTGTCCGAGTTCAGAGGAGTGCAGGGTTCGTGCAGCGGCGGCGTAGAACCACTGCAGCCGCCGCGTTAGGACTGGGGCTGTGATCGACTTCCGAAGTGCCGACAAAACGGATACGCAAGGCGTCGTCTGCTCCTGCCGTCTACTGCGTCGCCATGGCATTTCGTCTGCTAGCGCTTGGATGAAAGCATTTGCGTTTATAATATATTAGTTTCTTTAACAAAATATTTTACTTGCATGTTTTTTTACACTAAACAATGTATTAAAAACTGCGTGCAGCATACAATGAGACATGTCTGCATTTTTAATAGTTAGTGTTTGCTGTCGTGCTGTGATATTGGTTTCATAGACATTTCATCGACCACGTACCCCCGGATACCTTCGCGAAATCAAGACGACGATGGTCCCTCAGAACCTACTGGCGGCTGCAGTAGCGCTAATCGAGGACTACAGTCTAAGAAAAAGTGAGCACCCCCCTAGTAATCATGCGTTTTGACGGCTGTAACTACACCACAGGCTGACTTAACTACCCACTGCGCTTGAGCCATTGAGGGTTACCACCCTGTTGGCAAGCGACAAGCATGGGGTAGTCACGTCTTATAAACTCTTGAATTGGACATTCAAGTGAATGCAGCCGTTCAATAGTAAAAGTCACTTCAAAAATGTCAAAAAGTACTTGAAACTTGTTTTCTTTGTGCGTTGGTTCCCATTTATTCAAATTTGAACAGGCCAAAACAGGCGTGTGGCTCAGTTCGCCTAAACTGGCAGAAAACAAACATGCCAAAAAGTACAGGCAACCTTGTTAGGCACCTACTAAAACCCAAGGCAGATAAAAAGTATCGCGGTTGTCCTTCTTGGTTCCGTCGCGGGTTTTACCATGTACTGCTAGTAAACAGCTGGCAGCTGGCGTCGTGCTCGAGGAATTTAACCAAATCTCTAGAAAAGCACAGGAAGCTACGCACAGGCGTGAGTTGACTGGAGTGTTCGCCGGACGAGATACTCCTGTCGTCTTTTATAGTGCGGTAGAGTAAAAAGCGCGCTCTCATTAAAGGTGTGATCGGTCTGTTCTGTGTGCAGATCAGTTGCAAATGGCCTCCTCGGTTCCGCCGAACTTGCACGCCTGTCATACCTAATTTTTTGTTACTTTCAAGTGCAGTGAAGTATGAAGCATTGAACAATACGACTGAGGCCGGACAGGACGAACGTACCCAGATATCTGGGATCACGCCCGTGTATTTCAGTATTCCTCTGTCTTGGGATATATGATTCGCCTTCACTGGCTCATTTGGCACATTTCATCGAGTATACTCGATAAAAAATGCTTCAAACAAAAATGCTTTAAACAAGTGTGCTTCATCCAAGGTGGAGTACTTTGAAGGGGACTAGGATTTCAGGCCTTTCGGCACGCGTTCCTTTTACCTATATAAAGAATTCCGAGTAAATTTCCAAAAATGACGCGTTGGCAAACATACACGTGCTATTCGGTTTAGATTGGTTTTTTTTTTTTTTTTTTTTTTTAGAAACTTTTTGCTGAAGAAGCTAGCAGGTGCAGCGCAGAGAACTATGTTCTCGGCGTTCTTTGATGCTTGAGGCCGGTTCAGACACTTGAATTTGAATGCGTTCGACAGCGTTGCGTCGAGAACCGAAAGCGAGTCACGGGCACATCTGTGCTTCGTATGAAGCGTGGAATCCAATTCAAGGAATCGTCTTGGCACGTGATATAAGCAGCAGGGATGTCCTGGTTTTTTGCTGCCGCAACACAGTCAAACACAACTGTCTGAACCAGGCTTCAGATAATTTAGCACACTTATTTCGCGTTCGCTGTAGGTGAAGGCACGGGCCCGAAAACGGCAATTCTGCACTGTCCTCTTGGCGGCAGCGCGAGCGCATAGAACGCATATTTGAAAGACACGTGCTTGAGCAGATACAATTGTAGCGAAAAGACGAAAACTGAAACAACGCTTCGGGGAGGACCGGCGGACGGGCTTCGCTAGAATCACACTGCGCGCGCTCAGTGTACTCAACATTTACTCAACCGCCGCTAAAGTCATTCGGATATGTAAAAAGAGAAAAGAAAATGCAGCAGCGTGTTCAGAAAGTTGAGATTGCAGAAATCGGTTTCGATAATTAATAGAATTAATTAAACAGGCTTCTGTATACTTGAAGTGTAGGCAAGCGAGAAAACGAAACTGATCAAAGCGTGACGTGTAGAGACAATTCAATTTGATTTATAACCTGCAGTTCACTTTTGCAATGGCTTTACATTAGAGATACGAGCGCTTTCCTAAGTGCAGTAGAGGAAAATAATAAATACGGATAAATCTTTCACAGTCTTTTCGTATTTATGCAAAATATGACAGTGGTCAACATTCTAATCGGTCACAGAAAATACAGGAGTATATAAGCCGGTGGTGTCGACTCTGCGTGTATATAGGAATGCAGAGTGTCAATATCTCATGTTGTACCTTGTGCTGTTTGTGAACGCGTTCACACCCTAATATTGTATGGTGTCTGTATATCGCGTATGTGTGAAGTGTGGTGTGGAATATGTAGTACGTGCATGTCAGGCGAGGCGCTCAGAGCACAGATTGTTTGTTTCTTTTTTCTTAGTTTGAGCACTGTCCGTTAGGTGGCGCGTCTCGCCGCCCAATTCAAGGAGCCGCGCGTTTATGTGTCTACTTATTTGAGTGAAAAACATGGAGGCGTTCCATGGCTCCACGGAGCAGCTACAAAGGGTTCGGTTC